CAGACTGAGATGGAATTCCTGCTGGTCCAGAAGCTTGGTGGAGGTGAGGGATGGCCACACCTTCATTCACCCAGAGGATGTAGGGTGTGAGAGCAACAAGGGGAGTTTCACACCTTTCTTGTTGATACTCCAATGTGGTTGCCCTTGCTGTCCTCAGCAAGCAGAGCCTGTTCTTCGGTAGCTGAGATTGGAATGTTGCCACTTTAAATATCCAAAATGACTGCATTGCTTGTCAATACTCAAAATGGCTGTGTGCTCTGACAGCCGAACGTCCACAGTGCGATTTGTCTCGTTCTTGCCGTTTTTCTTTTCAGTCATCAGCCACCAGTGCAGTTGTCCGTGCAGCCCTTGGCAAGCAGGACTGACTTTTATGTTACCGCCTAGGTCCTTACATCACTCACAAATATTCAAACTGGCTGTGCCGTCAGGATAGCTGGCAGTCTGCAACTCTGTCTCCTTATTCATTGTTTTTGTTCAGGTTCTTCTACTAGTTGGTATTCAATCCACTCTGTATCCTTCCTTTCAAAACTCAGAGCTCTAAGATTATCTTCTGTATCTGTGTCAATTGATTTTTCTTTTCTTTGTTGAAGAGGGTCTGTGCCTGTCTGTCTGTTCCACCAGCTTACTGGAAGTCCTCTCTTTAGCATTTGTTGTAGGGCAGATCGCATGGCAATAAACTCTCAGCTTTTCTTTATCTGGCAATGTCTTAACTTCATCCTCACCTTTGACAGACAGTGTTGCCAGATACAGAATGCTTGGCTGACAGTTCTTTTCTTTCAGCACTTAAATGTGACTTCCCACTGCCCTATGGCCTCCATGGTTTCTGTGGAAAATTGACAATCTTATTGAGGATCCCTTATTTGTGACGATTTCCTTTTGTCTTGCTGCTTTCAAGATTCTGTCTTTATTTTTGGTTTTCAAGACTTGGAATATAATGTGTGTTGATGTTGCTGTCTTTGGGTTATCCTACTTGGAGTTTATTGAGCGTCTTAGATGTGTCAATTCATGTCTTTATGAAATTTGGGGAGTTTTTGGCTATTTCTTCAAACAATAGCCCTTCCTTTCTGCCATTTTCTCTTTCTCTTCTCCTTCTAGGACTCCTACAATGCAGATGTTTATTCTCTTGATCATGCCCCATGGTCCCTTAGGACTCTGTTCACTTTTCTTCATCCATTTTTCTTCTTTGCTCCTCGGATTCCGTAATTTCAACTGTCCTATTTTTAAATTGCCGATTCTTTTTCCCGTCCACTCAAACCTGCTGTTGAACCCCTCCAGTAAATTTTTCATTTCAATTCTGTATTTTCCAGTTCCAGTATTTGTTAGGTTTCTTTTTAAAATTTGTTTCTTTTATTCCGATTTTATTCTATATCATTTTCCTGATTTTCTTTAGTTCTTTGTATTTTCATTTAGCTCTTTGAAAAAAAATTAATATTGTTGTTTTAAAGTCTTTGTCTAGTAAGTCCATTATCTGTGCTTTCATATGGACAATTTCTTTTAATTAAAAAGAACTTGAATTTTGTTCTTTTGAATGGGTCATCCTTTCTGTTTCTTTGTATGCCTTGTGGTTTTTTGTTGAAACCAAGACATTTGAATATTATAATGTTGTAACTCTGGAAATTAGGTTCTTTCCCTTCCCCAGAGGTGCTCTTTTGTTTTCTAAATTGTTGCCGGATATAATTATCCATTTGTTTAGTTACTTTCTCTATTTCTGCAAAGGCTGCCTTCTCAGTTTCTTGGCTTGTGTTCAGCTAGTGTTTTGACAGAGATTTCCTTGAACAGCAAGGGAGTATTCAAAATAGAGAAATGGAAAAAAAAAAACTGCGAGAGTCCTCCTTCGGCAGTTAGCTAGATGTGCGCTAATCCCGTGGATCAGCCTGAGGAGAAATCATAGGATCTGTCTTCTCAGGTAATTTCTGAGCATATTTTGTGCTAAGTGTGTATGTGGCTTTTTCAGTTCTCCCATAAACATACACATATATATATAAAATAAACCCACTGCCATCAAGTCAATTCTGACTCATAGCGACCCATTGGGTTTATGAGATGGTAAATCTTTACAGAGGTAGACTGCCTTGTCTTCCTTCCTCAGAGTGGCTGGTGGGTTTGAACCATCTGGTTAGCAGTCAGATGCCTTAGGCACT